TCTTTCTTCCTTCTGACAAAAATACCGGCAGGAAAATTTTATTAAAAAGTCTTTTCTTAGTATCCTGCTTACTTATTAATTCTAGTAGGCTCCTTTCTAGTGCAATTGCTCTCAGAGGAATTGCTTTTAACTTGGTTTTGTTAAATATGGCAACACTCTAAAGACTGCCTGTACCGTGGGGTTTGTTTTCCAGGAATATCTTGCTTTGTTTTCAGAACTGCGTGATTGTGCGACATCTGCTCCACATCTCAAACGTGATCGGCTGAGTAGGTACAACTGTGGCAGATGGCTGATGACTCACTCACCTTTTAACACTGAACCCTGCTTTGCTTTCTGAGAAGCAACATCTTCATATTAATTTTCTAAGTGTCAAGCAAAGATGCGATCCAATATGCCCGGATTGCTAGTATGTAACATAAGTTAGGGGACATGCACAGGATGCAAAACAGCAAGTGAGTATTTATTCAGTTTGTGGCACATGGCTTGCATTAGTATTTTAAAATTTGGTTCAGTCACTTCCAAGCTTTCATTTGCTATCAAGTAAATTCACAAAAGGAAATTAGTTTCACTTGTAGCAAAATCTGGATCCCTGAATCAGATAGAGATCTAGGCTCCCTATGCAAAGGAGAAAGGCAGAAATAATGTCCAGCAGAAGTCATTCACTTGAGTGAGGCTTCAGGAAACAGCAGATGGATTTATATTAAACCTTGCCCCCTTTGTGCCTGGGTACCCTGCTCCACCTTGGGGAACACCATGAAGATTTGCAGACCAGCACGGAGGTCACAACATGGCAGTAACGCATGTACCCAGGGCACCAGAGACGTTGCTGAGTTCCCTTCACTGCCGACTGCCAGTTTGAAAGCCTATACAGTCCCTGTGCCTTGGGTAGCTTAAATTCTTATCGTTCAAAAGAAAAGTATTACAGGAAGCCACAAGTTTACTTACTTAGCAAGACATTGACTGGCAAATTTCATTACTAAAATTAAAGAACCTTAGCAAGTTTATCCCCTCTCACTCATACATCTTGGTTTGGCAAATCAAGATAACCAGGAGGACCTCCAAAGCACCATTCTTTACCACTTAATTTGTGCATTTATATACCAAACCATCTTGTGCATATATTTATTTACAGCTAAATATGGTTACATGCATTATAATAGCTTAGGTATATCTAACCTAACTGGACAACTCTTTTGCATGCACATGATTTCCATATTAAAAATGCAATTAGGATTACTACACCCATATCCGTATCTTACTAAACTCCTTTGGGATCAAAAATAAACATGCTAGCCTCACAAGCATCTGTTCAGAATGCAATCTCCTAGCTTAAACATGTTTCAGTACACAAAATTTAGACATCATAATGCTTTAATGTCCCGTTAACTATTCTGTTAATAAAAAAAATCCCCTTTCTGTGGCAGACACACGTCACTCCTACTTCCACTTCCTTTATGTCAACTAATAAAAACCAAGTCTAAATCAGCCAAGTCTCTTGGAGGCTCAGTGGTTCACGCCGTTAACATTACCAAAGACCCATGTATGACTAACAGCTGTCTCTTAAGGAAACTGAACTCATACCTTCCACATCCAGAGAAACTGCCCTAAAGTTGAAGACTATCCCAGGAAGGAAAGGAGAGAAGCTGATGAGAAAGCAAAGAAGGAAGATATTGTCACTGCTGATTGTGACTCATCCAGGATAGAATAAATATTAATCAGTCATGATACAGAAGGCAAATAAGAGTGAGCATGACTATAACCCAGCAGTTACAAAGACAACTTTTACTGTATTAAGGCTTGGAACATAGGTCTTCCCTTTCCAAGGTACATGCTATGCCTATAAGTATTCTGAGTCATGTTCTCCATCCCTCCAGCCCAGTGAGTACTCCACAGTAGAAAAATGGAAGATCTTCAATAGAAAAGATTTAAGGTACCTCTTTCCAAAGTAACTTGACAGCCAGAGCTGTCACCACAGAAATGGGCTGTAGCACTGCACGCATAAGCCTGCGACCGGCAGAGGACCTGAACACTTATGTCCTCCATCTCCCCACAGATCCGCCATCTCTGGGGTGATTCAGGCCAAATTGTACCTTGTTTATTCTCAGGGCTTTAGATATGAGAGAGACCTTGCTGAGCAGCATTAAGACTGAAGCCTTAGTTGTGTTTGAGTGATTGATACAGTTTCCTCCTCTAAACTACTACAGCCTGAATGTTATCAGCTAAACATGAAGAAAAAAACTTAAAATAGTGTTGTCACTTACATTACTTGATAGTTAAAATCCCTGATTACGTGCCAAATCAGCAAAAACAGAATCCAAAAATAAAATGGTATGTAATGATGGTAGTTTTTTCACGCAGAAAGGACCTTTTGGGGCAGATATTTCTCTCATAGTAATCTTGTGTTATTCGAGTTCCACTAACAACTGTTGAGTTTACACCCTGGTGCCAAAAGAGGCATATTACATCCTTCAGCTTCGAGCTCTCCAGAGCTTACTCAGCTCATTTGGTACCTCTGTATTGCTGACATGCACAGAACTTTAACAGATGGCCTTACAATACTGGCAGTTGTTTTGTACTGTGCAAGTGGTGAGGGGAAATACTCTACGCAAATTGCATGCAATACTGCAAAATAAATGAAGTACAAATCCCTATTAACCTCAAAAGCCAAACTATAAAAAGTCAGATTAGTCATTGACCAATATATGTGCTGTGGGTTAAATGTTCAATTGCTGCAACATGGCAGTATTTCCCTGCAGTCAACAGAACTATATTTTGCTTCAGTGTCTACTAGGAATATCCATAAGGACAGTGTCACTAGGAAGGCACCAAAATGCATTAGGAATAATTAGGACTAAGTCCTGAGAACCTTCCTCACGTGATCAGCCCTAATTGACTGCCAGCAAAACAGTACCTGTGTAAACTGGGTATTTTCAGGATAAAGCACATAAATAATCAAGCAATGAAGTACAACTGAAGTTAATTAAATCTATCCTTCCTCCTGTACTGAACAGAATTCATAAACTAGCATGTCAGCTACTGTGCAAATGTTGAAATCAACAGAGGTGACTAAGTAAACAGTAATTTTACATTTTTTCCTCACTCACAAGCTGAGTTTTACTGAGGTTTTACTTTTTTCTGGCTGCACTGAAATGCAGTTTCACCGTGCCTAAGAGGACAGAATTGCTACTCCTTGTTTTTGTGCTGTTAAATTTGCTCTTTTATTGTGCTAAATTATCAGATATATCAACTGGGTTGAACTAGTAAACTGTGTATGTTGAAAAGTGCTTTTTCAAAAATAAAGAGAGCAATTTTCTTCACAAATACATAATCGCCACAAAACATGTTTGCACATGTGCAGTACAATTTACTAGTGCAAATTTAGAACAGGTTTTTAGAAAATCACTAGAAGAGTTTTAGACCAATACTTACCTCTTCTGTTGGCTTTGAACTAAATGTAACTGGAAAGATCTTTCATGGGCTGGGGCTTCAGCTCCCACTCAGGTCAATGTATTTAGATACACGATATGTGAGCCACCTTGTTGTTGATTTCAGAAAGTTAACTACGCTGAAATAAAGATCCCATAGCATCTTCAAAGCTCCAGAGGGAGGGAGAACCCTACAAATATTATCATAAAAGAGCCTTTCAGATGCAAGTGTTGTTTTCCAGGCTTCTGCTGGGACTGAGTAAAGGCTGTATCCATGTCTTTAATTTTATTTTATGCACTAAGGTTGCTTATAGTGGCTGGAACTGACTTCTGTCATACATTTGTGTCTCTGATACAAGCGAAAAGATATTTATCACTGTTTGTATTATTTTATATTGAAAGATCAAACAACTCCTAAGTCTGAAGCTGTTAACAAAAGCTATTAAAATAGCTAAATTTTAGATAGGTTTCATGCTTTCTCTTCCCATCTTTTTCCCCTCAGGATTCTTGCCAGACTAAGATGACACAAAGTATTTCCAGAAGTACTTATACAAATGCCAGATAATCCTTCCCTGAGAGCATAAATTATTTCTCATGATGAAGAAAGAAAAGCAAAAGAAATGTTAAATAGATAGAGCCAAAACATAGGCACATCAATATACCTCTACTTCTGTTCCCAGGCTTGAACATTTTCTCAAACATTTCAAGCTATGATCCCTGATGTAGCACTTCACTATGGAATTCCCAGTAGAGAAAAAAAGAGGATTTGGAAAACCTATTTTAGTATCAGCAATACAAGCATTTCCTATCTTGGGAAAAGGTCCTCCTTTGCAGATGCAGAGCATGAGATGACCTGCGATGGGAAAACTTCATGATCGCCCTGCCAGGTACTGAGAACGTTTCCAGCTTCCACCACAACTCGCTGCCCACCGGAGCACAACCCCTTTTCCAGGGGTGCCGAGCCCAAGCCCCCTCCCCACACATCCCTGGTGAACATCTGCTCTGGAAAAGGACAGACACCCTTCTGGTCAGAGGGACATGAAATGAAAACAGTCTCTTAGGGACATCATGCAAACACAGGAGAAGAGCAAACTATGAATAAAGAACAAAAGGCAAAATAAGGGAACAAGCACAGGATTTATGATTTTCCCGGCACTCTATCTTGTCCATTCTAACAATATCCAGCGCTCTGACAGACACCTTCTCGGGAAGGTTCAAGTAGTCCTGGACTAAACAGTAATAGAGTCATCTGCTTGCAGGCCCAAGTAAAGGCCATTCTTAATGATTTGCAGTACTAAATTTGGTAGGAGTGCAGTAAAATAGCTGAGTGTCAGAGGACTTACTTACAAAACTAAGAGAGGAAAATGAGTACAAGGTTTCCATACAGAGAATCCACCAGTTACTGACTGCAGATCTCTGCACTACCCTGGAAGTGGGACATTACTCAATTTTCATATGACAGAATCCTGTGGAAGCAAAATGCAGTTTGCCCTTGCAAGGCCTTGCGATTTTATCCTTTGTCCTGCCTATCTAATATTTTCTGAAATAATACCCGCAACTTTTCTTCTTAAATACCTTTATAGTTTCAGTAGGTACTCCAGGCTCTGGAACTTTATCCAAATAAGTAGTCAAGTCTTGATCCACATGTTCAAACACTAATGTTAACTTGGTCTCTCTGTCTGTTCGTGACACGGTGCACACATCAAACAATCTGAGAGGAGGAAAAGGAAAGAGGAGGTAAGTACACAGGATTCAGTACAATCATACTTTCCAGTGTATATACATAATTCTAAATTTCTTAAAGTATATAGATTAAAAATATAGAAAGTAGTTTTGTATTTATCCGTGTTCTCTGCCTCATCAACTGTACTCCTTTCCCTCCCCTGTTCTCCCCTCAAATAATACAAATAACATTTTGAGAAACAAAGATGCAGTGTTCACATGCACCTTCAGTTTCTTTCCATACGATTCCCCTCTTCAGAACCATTACATGTCTCTAGAATTAAATTCTCTTTGGGAGAACTCAATTTTTGGACACTCAATTTTTGTGCTAATTGGTCTTGCAATCTCTGAGAAGCAAGTAATACTATCAGAGTCAGGATATAGCTTAGAAAAGAACTTGAGGCACAAGGTACCCCTTCCAAGAGCGCCTTCTTTTCTCATCCCTTTTGGTCGCTCTTTTAGTAGAATTTCTTCATCATTTCACCTGGTTGAAGAACAGTAAGTTCAAGCTAATTGGTCTCCGGAATGTCACATTGATATTATTTTATTTATTTTATTGATTGATTGATTTTTCATCTGAACATGAGAAAAAACTTCTCGACTGTGAGGGTGATAGAGCCTTGGAGCAGGCTGCCCAGGAGGTTGTGGAATCTCCTTCCTTTGAAATATTCAAAACCCTCCTGGACGCGATCTCTACATGCTATAAGCTAACTAATAGTTATAATTAAATGTATAATTAATAATTACAATAAGGAATTGCTAAATAATATCTAATGCTAAATATCATCCTTTTATGCTATTTTTATTAGGTGACAGTAGAGTCAACAAAAACGTAAACACAGTTATTAAAAAGAAGACTATATAGATAAACTAAAGAACATAGTATTGATAGCACTTCAAAAGTAGCACCGAAGGTAGGGCTTATCTTGGTCAACAGCACAGCAGCTATGTTGTTTTATCACGTGTTTTTTTTTATCCCCATACTTAGCAAAACTGCTTATTTACTTTGGGATGGTGAAAGATTTCTGATAACTATATCAAGTAATATCTTTGTTCTCAGTCCTAGGGCTAAACACTTCATATCTGTAGCCAACAGCTTAGGCACAAAGCCTTTGGGGGTCATTAATTTTTAAATAGGTCATCCAAAAAAACAGACTAGGAAAATATTTTGAATTAAGTATTTACTTCTTATCTTAAATCTCAAAATGTTTCACAAGAGAAGGGAAGGCAGGAATTGGCATAACTGTGAAGACTGCAATCAGACTGCACTGTGCTTCACTTGATATGTTATAGATTACACATTTCAGGGCTCAGGTCCCACTTTAAGAGCATTTCCTGTATCTTATTTGAAAAGAAAAATTGCTTATTAGGCACCACGTTTTGAAAATGAATGCATGCACAGTACTTTTTTCAGTGAGAAAGCACTGAATCATAACCCGAAAAGTCATGGCAGTTTCATAAGTTAAGTATTTTTTGAAAACACCTCTTTGATAACTGGACTCCTTTATCAGTGTTTCCACAGGGCAGCGTGGTATAAAAATCTGCTTTAAAATGAAACTGAAGAAAATTATCTGTTTTCTAGACATACTTCACAAGACTGACAACAGCACTCAGATTTTTCAGTTCTAGCCTCCACCTTCCCAACATGCATCAAACCCCGCTGTTGTTCCAAGCTCACTACAGAAATACCAGTGTGGGTCTTCTAGGATGCTGCCAGCCACCACCAGAAGAAACAGTGGAGCAGCAAGAACTCACATTCACACCAGCTGAGAATACCACACTGCTCTAAAACCACCAGGGGAAAGAAAGTCTCCTTCTTACTAGTGGGATATAAATTGAGCCCCAAACAGTTTTTGGTTAACAGTTCTTTACTGTGACTAAATTTTACAAAAATAGTTTGTTAGAGGGTTTTTTCTTTGGGGAAAAGCTGAAAGAAAGTTGCTACATTTTCTCCAATTTTTTCCAAATCAAAGCTTACAGGTTGTGGAAGAAAAGTTATTTGAGAACTGGGACTAGAGAATATGGAGAGTGTGTCACCCTAACTCTTCTAAAAAAATAGAATTTAATGTGTATATATGAACAAATATTAATTAAATGGTTACGGTAAAAAAAAGTGACTCTAACAGCAAATGTCCAAGCACAAGTCTCCTACGGGGGCATTATACAGGAGATATCTGCCTTGCTTATGGTAAAATCAGTTTCGTGGAAAGTCACACACCACCCTGAAAAGTGAAATTAGCTGGTATTTGGCTGGAGGTTAATAATCTGCCATATATTTATATAAATCAATGTGGAATGTAGCCGGACTGCCTATAACCCCAACACATGCAAATAGAGAGGAGCCAGACAGGTCTGAACATCTGAACATAAACACTGGAAAATATTTCCAACTGTGTGATTCCTTTGTGTTGACCTACATTTACCTAAAAATGTTCTGAAACACCTTTTTTTGCCAGGTATTTAATACACTGGCAAAATCATCCTTTCAACTATAGCAGAATTATTACTCTACAAAAAAAAGGAAAAAATATTCCGGAATATAGAAGCAACATATAACTTCCAACTTACTTTAGAAGAAAGTAAATGCTGACTCTCTTTACTTCTTATGTGTAGGGCTTATTTTGATTCTGGCTTTTTCTGGCACTGCCAAACTAGGAACTCAAAGGAGAGCAATTCTAGTCGCCTATAATCACATCCCTGAGAAAAACCGATCCATCTTTCACTTGCATACACCTTTTATGTGACAGGAGAAGTGCTTCACGGCTAGTAATAAAAACTCCTGATCCAGCAGCAGGCTGGGTGGAAGCACACAGTGTTTACTCACAGAAAATACATCTGCTGCCTTAAAAAGATAATTATTTAAAGCATTGCTTATGCAAGTCCTTGATATTACAGAAAAAAGTAACATCTGGCATTGCCTGTGCTAGTTATCCTGGAAACAGATAGAGTGCAATGAGGCCTCTTTACTTGATAGCTTCCGTAGGGATAAGACCAAGATTTTCCAAATTACATTCTTTTATATCCACTGCAAAAAAAATCATCCCTATACACAGCTCCATCAAACTGCCTTTAGTTAGGATTAACTCTGCACCTTCTTTCAAGCCACTTCTTTGCGTTTTTCTGTGTGTAACTGCTAGACTTGCCTCTCTGCAACAGGCTGCAGCATATGGCCTTTTATTTAAAGAGCTACTTCGTGCACTGTCCTAGCAGAAGTCAATCTTCCTCAATTAATACAGGATTTCCATACCGAACACTCTGTAAACACAAGCCCTGCCCTTCTATTGTGTTCACCAAAGAAACATTTGAATTATTTGATTACAGTAAGATCCGCTATGGGAAATCCTGCAAGTATTTGACAAGATGTTTGGCTGGGAATCACATGTAGCTTGATGTGTCAAGCTGAAGTTAAACACTGTTGAACAGATACGCACTGAAGATCTGTGCTTTAATGCAGACATTTTTTCAAGCTAATTGTACTAAAATGAAAAAGCTTACTACCAAGAAATTTAAGTTTCTGGGGGGTTTTATATTACTAGCACCTAGTGGGTCTTGTTGTAACCTGACAGAATGCCTGCTTTTTTACAAAAATACCTTGTCTTTTGCATGCAGAAAACAAGATGATGCATCTTGAAGTCTTTGTAGCTTCCTATGTGCGACAAATGCAATTTCAGTTCCATTGTGAACATTAAATGCTTTTAGAAGAAATGAACCATTTTGCAAGTTCTTTTGAAAAATACTGACTCTTCTCTAACTTGGAGCCCTTAGTTGTTACTGTACTTGCTTTTGAGATGCTTTGTGGACTGCTCTAAAGTTTCCCAAGTGTAATAAGAATTTTTTTCCTACTACTTTTTCTGGTGACAGGAATCAAAACCATCCATTCAAGACACCTGCAAGAATGTTCAAAACAACAGCATAGTCTGACATGGAGATATTAAAATCTGTAGGATGTGAGCTCTCTTGTCTACTGTCACATAGATGAGGAAACACAATTGGAAAATTAGTCAGAACAGAGTCAAAGGGAAGACCAAAGAATGAGATAGCTGCTGCCAAAGCATCCAAAAGCTTATTGTTATTTTTATTGCAGTAGGACTAATCTGACATGAACAAAGATCCTGTTACTGTGCTGGTCACTCACAGCACTGAACAAAAAGACAGTCCCTGCCCTCAGAAAGTTTTTAAATAACAGGGATTTATTTTAATTTTCTTAGGAACAGTCTCTGCCTTGCTGCTTCCTGATTTATACATGGCAAAGAAAGAGAACTGGAGCCACTGATTTATGAGAAGGAGAAAGGTTTAAGCAAACCATGGTGTGGCAATTAGTGGCATCGGAATAAATTGCAGTTCTAAGGCTTCATAAGTCTGCACGAAGTCTCAGAGGAAAAGAGTTTGGTGGTCTCGACCTTGCTCTGAAAGACATTTATCCAGATGACAGAAAACCATGACAGAATTTATGTATGATTGACGGTGTTTACACAAACACCACAAGACTGAAATACCAGGACTATTACAGGTCATGGTTGAGGTTTATTGACAAATATGTGTGGGAGAGCCCAAATAGCTTCTGCTTTCACTACATTTGGCTCAAGTTAGGCCTGGAAGTCTATAATTTTCATGGGCACAAAAATTTCAGCCTCTCATACCTAAAACCATTGACAGTCAGGCATCCTTTGATGGCATATTTCAGTAGCAGCCTTAGATTCTTCTGCTCTTTGAAAGCCTCTTGGTTTCTAGGACCTGGTTTCTTACTAGTCACTTCATCCACCCCAACTTTTTAAACTATGTTGTCCCTGAAAAATCCTATTTTCTTTGCACTTTTTTTATTTTAGCTACCTTCTCCTTTCCTGTTTTTGAAGAAAGGAAGACCCTGCTAGCATCAGTCTCCATTTAGACTCACATATACTTGGTGTATGGACCATATTGCAGATGAACACAGTAGTTTGGCAAATGAACTAGGACATGTGCATTGCAAGAATCACGTTCCACATAGCAAAAC